CGTCAACGTAGCCTTGTACCCCCAAGCTCTTTCCTGGATTACTCTTGTATCTGCTTACAACTCCCACTGCATGAGCAATATCATGCCCCTACTGAAAGCCCTTTTCAACAAGTTCAGTCTTGTACCTCTTACTGCCACAAAGCGTAGTCTTTACTCGGTACACCCATTTATTGTGCAATGTCTTCTTCATTGGTGGAAGTTCTGTCAGCTCCCAGGTCTCATTCCCTGACAGGGAATTCATTCATCTCCTCCTTCCGTCTCCTCCTTCTTGGTCAGTTCTCACTTGCTCGAATTCTCATTTTGCAAGATTTCCTTATTGCTCTGTGGTTCTCCACCATTTGTCTGTATAAAGTCTGGTTTTCCCGTCTATTTTCCTGCATTTGAGGCTCTGTCACTTTTCAAGAAATTGACCCTCTTCCACTTCCCCATATGGACCTTTGACTCATGTGTCCGTGCCTGAATAAAGCTGTAGCCATATATAGTGTGTCAGTTTTCTTACACCGAGCTTGTAATAACGCTTCTTTAGTAACCTTCTAGGTGCTATCTGAGAACACCACCGAATGACCACCCCCATTGAGCTACCCAACAGGGATGAAGTTTTTCTTCAACTCAGAAAAGTGTATGACCTTTTGCAAAGTCTATTTATTTTTTTTAGGGAGTGCAATATCAACGTCTCCCATCTCAACCACGTTCAGAGCTTTTCCATCAGCCAAATATACCTTCCCAAAGTTACCTGTAATATAATTTCGCATTAACTCCCGTCGGGAAGATGTATTGAAGAAAGCTCCTGAATCCATTATCCAGTCATCAACAGAACAGTGAACTGTCAGTAATATTACATCCTGTATTTCTTCAGTTACAACATTAGCGTCTTGCCACAAAGCGTAGTCTTTACTCGGTACACCCACTTATTGAGCAATGTCTTCTTCATTGGTGGAAGTTCTGTCAGCTCCCAGGTCTGATTCCCTGACAGGGAATTCATCTCCTCCTTCTTGGTCAGCTCCCACTTGCTCGAATTCTCATCTTGCAGTTTCCTTATAGCTTTGTGGTTTTCCACCATTTGTCTGTACAAAGTCTTATTTTCCTGCATTTGAGGCTCCGACACTTTTCAAAAAATTGACCCTCTTCCGCTTCCCCATATGGAACTCTGACTCATGTGTCCGTGCCTGAATAAACTTGTAGTCATATATAGTGTGTCAGTTTTCTTACCCCGAGCCTGTAATAATGCTTCTTTGGTAACCTTCTAGGTGCTATCTGAGAACACCACCGAATGACCACCCCCATTGAGCTGCCTAACAGGGATGAAGTTTTTCTTCAACTCAGAAAAGTGTCTGACCTTTTGCAAAGTCTATTTGCTTTTTTTAGGGAGTGCAATATCAACGTCTCCCATCTCAACCACGTTCAGAGCTTTTTCATCAGTCAGATATACCTTCCCAAAGTTACCTGTAATATAATTTCCACATTAACTCCCGTCGAGAAGATGTATTAAAGAAAGCTCCTGAATTCATTATCCAGTCATCAACAGAACAATGAACTGCAAGTAATATTACATCATATATTTCTTCAGTTACAACATTAGCGTCATCATTCTCCTTCTTCTTATGATTCCTACAGTTCTTTTTTATGTGGTTAGTCTTGTCACAGTTCCAGCAAGTTGCCTGCTGACCAGACATTGATTTTGATCTTCGTTTGTTTGAGTTATTGTCTTGTGATTGTCTTTCTTCTTTGGATTCCTACAGTTCCTTTTATGTGGTCAGCCTTGCCACAATTTCAGCAAGTTGTCTGCTGACCAGACATTGATTTTGATATTCTTCTGTTTGAGTTCCTGTCTTGTGATCTACCTCTGGAATCAACAATTGGTGTTGAACTCGAATCCGAGGTCTCGCCAAAATCTTTCAAGCAAATCTCCTCAGCCAAAATCAAATCACAAATATCATCATATTTCAACTTATCTTTAATTGCAGAACTGCTACCTGTCATCTTCATGGCTTCCCAGATATTTGACAATGAAGCCAACAATATCAGCGCACGTATCTCATCATCAAAATCAATTTCAACAGACGACAGTTGATTTGTGATAATATTGAAATCATTCAAGTTTTGAGCAACAGACACACCTTCTGCCATCTTCAAGTTGAATAACTTTTTCATCAAGTCAACCAGTTATTCGCCGGTGACTTTTCATACATACCTGATGCATAATAAAACCACAATAAGATCTGCAGTAGTCCTGTCTTTGATGACGTTGTGGGCAACCGATCTTGACGGGGTTAATCGAATAACCCCCAGAACATGTAGATCTAATAGATTCCATTCCGCCTCGTCCATCTTTTCTGGTCGCTTTCCCAGTAACGGAAGATGAAGTTTCTTCCTATAGAGGTAATCCTCTATCTGCATCCTCTAGTAAGCAAAATCTATGTCATTGAATTTCTCGATCCTCAATGTTATTAGTTCATCTCCGCCCATCATTCTTAGATCTGAACCAAATCTCTGATATCAGTTGTTGTGAAAAACGACGACAATAGAGTTAAAAATGGAACTAGAAAAATTGCACGCAGAAAAACACCAAAGAGACACACAGATTTACGCGGTTCGACAAATTTGCCTACGTCCACGGAGTTGCAGAGAATTTTATTTCTTTGAGAAATTACATCATCGAGCGCCTCGACGTTTACAAGAAAATCTCTATTTTCTTCTCTCCCTTCCCCTCTCTCTTTTCCTCTCTTTCTCTCTTAGAGGACTTGGTTTTGTCTTGCTTGGCTTGACTTGGCTTTATGACAAACCATAAGAGGCTATTTATAGAAATTAGGAGAGCGGGAGGGGGGAGGGAGGTGTAGGTGAAAGGTAGGTGGGAAGGTAGGTGAGCGATAAGTGTGATTCTTAATTACAAAGCTAATTAAATTAAGATGGACCAGGTCTCCACATTACCCAACATGTATGTGATGATATTGATATAACATACGCAAAAATAAGTGAATATTTGGCTTCAATATAAAAGTGATGTTGTAGAATATACATTATGCATGATATTGATTCTATGGATACCTTAACACAAAAGTAATATTTATTAGGGATTATAACTTTGATTTATGATCAACCAAAAAAGTAACAAACGAGCAGTTCTTCTAATTATTCACATACTTTATAACTAACAGGAATTATTTAAACTATGCATTATATATGGTGGTTTATGGCGAGCAATCACCTAGTCGAGAAGATCCTCTAAAGACTTCTTAAAGATGCTACAATCATATTTGGTTTAAATAAATAATAAAAATTAGGAACAATTAGTGAGCTTCAATTTGACAACAAAGAGTTTTTTAAATATAATTTTTTATTTTTGGGCCTTAAGTGCATGTTGTAGTATTAAGCATGGAGGTGATATCTTTTAATATACTTCGTGGAGGTACCTTGCTTGGGGAAATGGAGTAAGAGGCCAATGCTAAAATATATCTAATGACATTTATAGTAGCAGACTTAAGAAACGAGTCATTCATGTATTTTATGGCAATGCTGAGGGATTCAACATAAACAATTAAAAATTGGTGTTTATAATTAATAGATAATAACACCATTCATTGCTTTAACAATCATTTTTTAGATGTACATTATGAAGCTTGTACTCATCATGCCACAATGAAGTTCAAAACAAATAGTTGTTATGAGGAATGCCACTTGGCTTTTAAAGTCAAGATAAGAACGGAGTTCTATATGCATTTTGACAAAACATATGTCAAGAACTCAACTATTATATCACATTTTCATAATGCATTGACTTTGAGCGATAAGGTTGTGTTTTCCTCTCAAAAAGATATTATAATTTGATCATAAATGATATTTTAGAGAGCTTCAATGATATTTTTAAGAGTGCACGCACCTATTTAATGACGATATTATTAGAATTTTTTAAGCTCACAATGCATAAATGATTCTTTGATAGACACAACATTAGAAAAAAAAAAACATTAATTATTTTAATTAAAAAATTAAGAAGAATTGGGGAAGCCCTTAAATATGGCTCAAATCTTGATTATTAGGCTCATTAATTGGTTTGAAATGTATAGTCTTAACAATAATTATGACATTGGTTTGTGGGACAAAACATATACATATAAAATTTTTGATATTTTTGACTTCTCATGCATGTATGGGTTGACTGCAACCCGAATCCAAAATATCAAATATTAGATCATTTGTTCAAAGTTATATGCATAAGAAATTAGTTGTTAAGGTTGGAAATACATATTTAGTAAAAAATTAAAACATCTAAAATTGAGAGTGACTACTCAAAGAAAAATAAAAGACCTTAAAAAAGGTAAAATGACATAATACAACATAACTGTAATCAATATGCAATGAGAGGCCATAAATGAATTATTTGAGAGGTGTAGTATTCATTGCCTTCAAAATAATTTCTTCTTTATTATTATTTTTTGTTATTGTAAGTATAGTTTAACTACTTATACTTAATGTAATTCGTAAATTAATGTTGTTGTAATTTTTTTTATTATAGCTATTAGTTGTAATTATTATTTTAGTATAATAAAAGTATAGTAATATAAGTTAAACTATATATATCTTATTATAATCATATATAAATCATGTTCAACCCTATTTGAACCCATTTTCAAATAAAACCACATGATTTGAAGGTTTGCACAACAAAGATCAAATAATGTTTAAATATTTGTCGTGTAAGATTTAAATCTTGATAGAATTTTATTTAAAGTTTGTTGAAATATAAGCTAAAAAATAAGATATTTTGAGTATGAAATAATCTTTTAGATATAATTTTCTAAGAAAATTAAATAGTGAACAAATATTTCTAATTTAAATTTTAAGTGGCCTTTAATGTGAAATTTTCCAATTTGTTTACTTAAATTTCTCATTTTAAGTAAAAAGCTTCAATATGGTTGTTTGGCGTTTGCCTCTACCCAACGCGGACGCATGAACTAATTCCTCTCCTTAAACAATTACTATAATACCCTCGCTGCTGCCTGCCCTCACCTCCAAATTCCCCGCCCCGCTAAATCCATCCTTCCGCTTGCGCGGGCGTCCATTCGGCGCTGAGCGGTATCGAGGCCTTCTCAATTTTTCATCTTCTCCGTGTTCCTTTTTGATTATCGAAGGATATCTTATTAGCTTTTTGAGTACTTTGATTGTGTTCAAGAGAATGTGGATGAATCCTGGACAACCGGTGGATGCCTACTACGAAGTCAGGCCGGAGTACACAGACGACATCCCCAAGACCCGATTCAAGATCAAGGTTTTTTTTTGTTTCAGATCCCATCTTTTCACCATATTGGCAGCTGTGCTTTTGATTTTGATTTGCTTTGTTTGATTCAACGGTTCTCCTTTATTTTTATGAAATTATGGATTTTGTTCCGCTCCATGTGATAAAAATTCTGTCTTCTGATTTCCTGTTTGATCTCTTTATCCATCTGGGTTTATCTGTCCATGAGATCTGTGGACCAAAGGTTGAGTTTTTTTTAGTTCATTGAAATTTTAGCTGGGGCTGGGTTAATTGTTAGTCAGATTGAAGGTGGTTTTTTGGGCAGCGAATTTACCTTATTCTGTGGATCTGAGGTTCATCAATGCGGTTTCTGGGGATTGCTTGATTTGTTAACCTTTATTTATGGATTCACCTAGTTATTCTATTCATTGGAGTTCCTTTCTTCTTGAATTCTTTTCTTGAGTTGAGCTTTTCCATTTGTGAGGGCTAGTTTTGTTTTTTTTTTCCTTCTCTTGAACATTTATTTCAAATTTGCTATAATTGCAGCTCCTAGCTGAGGTAATTACATTTTATTTTGTTTATGCAGGCTGGAAAAACCCTTAGTGTTAGAAAATGGAAGGCTGCCTTTAGCTTTGAAGGATACTTGGACATTGGACCAACTCTTAGTCGAATTCGTCGAGCGGTAGGTCTATAATTTTATGATTAAATGACTTTCAGCTGCTACAGAGGATTCCACTAATGAGAAAAATCGTTTCATCGGTTTTTCTTAGTTGAAACAATTTTTTTCTTGAGGGATGCAAGGAACATTCTCTTAAGTAGGTTATGATTATAAATGATATGTGTCCTGTGCCTTACCTTGTTGATATTTTGTTTACATATGTTTTGGCTTCTTGTGACATAGATTTCTCCTTCATGTATTGGTTTGGTGAGTGTTAGATGGAGGGGTTATCTAAAAATTGATAGCTGTTACCAGGCAATAGTAATAGCGAGTTATGTGACTCATGAAATATGTGGTTTTTATCACCCTACTTATTTCTAAACTGTTTGGTATCTTCAACTGTTATCCTTTGAATGCTGGATGACCAAAACTTGATTATTATTATTATTATTTTATTTTTGAAGTTTAAATTTTTCTGATATTAATATGGAAGGGAATTTTTTTGTTGATTTGGGAGTTTTTTAATCTTGAAAATGATTTTGAGAAAAAAATATTTTATTCTTTGTGTGCAAGGATTGAAGTTTTGCTTCCTTTCTATCTATTAGAAGGAAGACAATTGGAAAGAGCTGGATCTTTTTATCTATTCAGATGCAAATAGTTTGCAATGATATTTATGTCAAAAAAAGCACTAATAAGACTGCAAAAGTGATATCGATAGAGGGCAATGATGAAATATCAACTAGGTCTGTCGATCAAAATTATTGATAGAAAGCATCAACAAAGAGGTTGATTTAGTCAGAGCTAAATGCATCTGTTGAATCTGAGATTGTTTGGGAAATATGCCCAAGAAATAGAACATTCTATTCGGAGGCAATTAAGAGTGAATGAGCGGTAGTAGACAAGCCAAAGGGTGTCTTTTATTTGTAGGCCTAAGTTCTAATATTATAAAAGTACATAATAACCCTCAGATCGTTAACATTTCAGAGGGGGGCGGGGGGGGGGGTTTGATAATTTACAAGGTTATTTGTCTATAATAAGACTTGGGACCTATTCGATCGATAAATGTCGCCGATTGCTTGACAGGTTTTAGTTCGATCAATTCATGGTCTGAAAGAGCCCCCTCTCAATCATTTTGAAGGCTGATGATCGTCTTGAGGGACTTTCTTTTGTCTTCTTCTGTTTGATCGTTTGACTAAGGCGTTTTCTTCGTCGCTACTCATCTGAATCGATCGTCTATTGCTACATTCAATCAGTTGTACTTTCTTCATAGGTAGCCCATCTACTTTAAGATTCATGTGGACACAACTTCATGTGATATTTAGTTACGTGACCCTGCGATAAAGATGGAGCTTCTCTTCAGCTTTGGGCTTTGAAGCGAGGGAGGGGAGGGGAGGCGAGGATTTGTTTGAGGTTCTGGAGGGCCTCTTCGAATTATGGCGTCCACTTGAAGCATTTAGCTCTCCTAAGTACTTTAAAGAATGGAACACCTTTATCCCTAACTTCAGACCTGCGATCCGATCGGTAAGCTTTTGAATTTCTTTGGTGTTCTTTAGGGGGAGGGGGTAGGGGGGGGGGAGGGGGACTCCCTAACTTCAGACCTGCGATCCGATCGGTAAGCTTTTGGATTTCTTTGGTGTTCTTTAGGGGGAGGGGGTAGGGGGGTGGGAGGGGGACATGTCTAGGAGTGTCCGGATCTTCCCTGGGTTGGCCTTTATGACTTCAGGGGTCAACAAATATCCCAAGAATTTATCGGTCGTGGCTCCGAAGGTGCATTTTAGTGGGTTTAAGTTCATGCTAAATTTTTTAAGCGTTTGGAAGGTTTCTCTTAAGTTTTTGATGTGTTGTTCCGCTGACCGACTCTTAACTAGTACATCATCAACATACACCTCAATGTTTCTTCCTTTTAAATTTGCAAATATTACCGGCATTTTTTTAGCCTGAAGGGCATTACATTTTAACAGAAAACACCCTCATAATTGATAAAGTCGGTTTTCTCCTCGGCAGCTGGGTGCATCTTGATCTGGTGGTATCCGGAGAATGCATCAAGGAAGTTCAGGACCTAGTGGCTAACAACTGAATCTACTAGGGCCTCAATCTTCAGTAGGGGGTAAGAGTCCTTCGGACAAGCGGAGTTCAGGTTGGTGGGATCTACGCACATCTTCCACTTTATGTTGGTCTTTTGGACCATCACGACGTTTGAGACCCGGGTGGGGTATTGTACTTTTTAATGTACCTGGCCTCTTCCAGCTTTTGTATCTCTTCTCGGATAGGTCCTGCTAGTGTCATGGTCGAGCTTCTGATTTTCTGCTTCATGGGTTGAGCCAACGGATCAACATTCAGCCTGTGGCACACAGCATCAATCAACACTCTTGGCATCTCGGCGGCCATCCACGCAAAAATGTCTTGGTTCTCTCAAGGGTTTGAATCAGCAGCTCCTTGTGACCTGCATCAAAAGTCTCGCTGATCAGAAAACATCTACTTGGATATTCCTCGACCGCCGGGTTTTCGTGTGTGGCTTCGCTGGTCTCGAGGCCACCCTCCCCGCATTCTGGATATTTAGGGGGTCATGCTCCACGTTGCTTATGGCCCATAAGTAGCTGACCCGGGTTTGCTCCAGGTCGCCTCTGACTGTGGTGATTTCTCTGTCTCAAGGAAACTTCACAACGACATGGTAAGTGGAGGCTATCACTCTGAAATTGTTTGGCAGCGGTCGACCAATGATGGTGTTGTAGGTTGAGGGTGAATCCACGATGAGAAAATCTTCAGTTAGGTTGAATTGTTTCTCGTTCTCCCCCCAACTTGCTGGGAGCTCGAACATTCCCAGTGTCTCCTTCCTCTCACCGAAGAGTCCATATAGTTGACCGGCTGGTGCGGTCATTCGATTGGCGGTGAGGCTCAACTTATCGAATACCTGTTTAAACAATACATTCACAGAGCTACCTGCTTCAATTAAAATGCTCCCTACATGATAATTGTTTTTTATAGCAGTTATTACAATAACATCATTATATAGATTTCCCTTTTGGGAAAGATCCTTATCAGTAAAAAAGATATGTGGATGGTTCTTGGGCTTCTGAGCGAAGGTGGTGATGCAGAGCTCCCTTATTTGCTACCTTTTCTGGCTCGCCTTCTTGGGTGACTCGCTTCCTCTGAAGATTAAAAACACGTACCTTGCAATGTTTATGGCGTTAGTGCGAACGTGGCTGTCGGTTGCCCTCCAGTGGGAGCCTTGCCCTACCTCTGGGTCGTAGCTCTAGAGGCGAAGAATTCTTTCAGCTTTCCTTCCATGATCAGTTTTTGGATCAGGCTTCGCAGATGTCTGCATTCCTCTGTGTCATACCCGTAGTTTGTGCGGTACTTGCAACACTTTCTGCTATCCCGAAGGAAAGATCATGCCCTCATCGGCATTACATTTTATCTTGAACGGCGTCTACTATCTCTACCATGGATACTCGAAGCGGTGTCTCACGAGGGACCTCATGGTTATACTAGGGTTGCTCCCGGTGGTACGACGATCGATTATTATGGGGTTTAGTCGGTCGTCTCCGGTTTCCTCAGCGCCGGGTGGAGTGGTTATCGTGGCGACCCTTGTAGCAGGGGTGGTTTTATGGTTGTGCGTTTTGTCTAGGTTGTCCTCCGATATCCTGTGGAGTTCTTTTCTGATGTCATTGCTTGGCGGGTTCAGGAGCTTTCTCGTAGGCGAAGATGTATATGTTGGCCGTCTCTAACAGCTCGACTAAGCTCCGTGATTCCGCAAGTTTAAGGTCGAAATAGAACCTCTCAGAACTTACTCCTTGTGTTAGTGCGGTCTGATCCATGTCGGGATTCAGGTGTTTGACATCTAGGGTCTAGCTCTATAAAGGAACGATAAACGATTGTAGGCTCTCGTTTTCCTCCTACTTTAGCTGCCACAGGGATTCAACTTTCTTCTTAGGCCTCAGGGCACTTTCTAACAGGGATAGGAAAAGCTTTCTAAATTCTGCCAAACAATTGATTACCCCAGCGTGCAATCCGTCGAACCACCTTAGGGCTGTCAATCTTAACGTCGTGAAGAACATCTTGCACTTGAGGGCATCCTAAATTTTCAACACGCAGATCGAAGATTCAAACGACGCGAGGTGGTCATTAGGACCCGATCGTCCTTTGTACATTTCCATGATCGGCATTTTGAACTCTCTGGGAATTCAACTGCGGAGACCTACAGGGAAAAAGCATTCTCCATGGGAGATTAAAGGTAGATCAGTGAGTTGTACAATTCTATGAGAAAAAAAAAAGTGAGGCAAAGTGCCTCAATGTTTGATGATGAGGAGTAACTGCTTAAGGAGAGAGATGCATGTGGAGCATAGACGCATTGCAAGAGTAGGCTTACGGAGATGGAACTTCAAGGATCTGCCAGCGGCAAGAAGATGTTTACAGAAGATGGAGGATTTCATGTTATCACTTTGATTCAATTTTACAAGGGATAGATTGAAAAGGATTAGATCTTTTCTCAATTGTCTCTCAACTAAAAGAACATAAGTGCATGTATATAGTAATAATTTGGAACATCCTCAATAATTAGAAAATATTATCTTAAGAAGTGTATATTCCTACTATAAATAATGTTGATATGGTAACAAAATTTGCACCTTTAATTTTCTGCTGAAAATGAGGGTGAAATCTCTTTGCATGCTGGTTGATCTTGCACAACAACTGTTTAAACCTATGTTCTTTTTTCAAACACTATGCCGTGCCTTTGGTAAATACAATTTGTAAATTTACTCAAACAATTAAAGAAAGGAAAAATATGGCGAATCATTGATGTGTATCTTTTGACCGCCATTCTCAAATTCCTTAAGCTAGACTGGCATGGTAGGTCTAGGGGCTAATATTGATTCTTGTTTGTCTATGATGTGTTTCATACACAGTATTTTTTCAAACTTTTTTGTTGTTGTTGGTTTTAGACCTTCAAATGTTCTGCATTCTCAAATCACAATCTTCCTCACCAGTTGATTAATGTTGCTTTTCTAAAATTCAGAAAAAGGACAACTTAAAAATTTTAAAGCAATGGAGGGAAAACTTCTCTTTAACTGATACTTTGGTGATGATGACAGTCATATCCTTTGTTGCATTGTAAACATAGGTTGTTTATAAACATAAGAAGGAAGACTGAATGGAAATGAATAAGTAGTTGGATAGCATTATGTATTTTGTAATTGAGAAATTAAAGAGAATATAAGCGGTTAACAATAATATAAAGATAGTTTTTTTTCTTTTTCACCTCAAGTTCAAAGGAAAAACGTTGATATTGCCTTATAACGTTGATTTTTTTTTTCCGAATAGCAATTTGTCATTTTCATTATTTTCTATACCAGAAAGAATTAGGGAGTGATTTGGCATCATACATGGTTGGTCAATTTAGGTGCTACATTCTAAGATCTGTACAATATGTACCCTTCATAAATACTTTGCGTTGATAACTTGCTATATTCCACCCTTTTTCTGCCTTCAATAGGGCTGTCAGAAAAGCATGTTGTTCGTGAATAGTTTGTGTTCGGTTTGTTAAGTAGCTCGTGTTCGAATCGTTCGTCAAATAAATAAGTTGAACACAAATAAATTTTTTTAAGCTCGAATGATAAATGAGCTGGACATGAACAACCTTGTGTTCGACTCGTTTTAGCTTAAAATAAGGAAATTATATATTTTTTTGCATATATTATTATATTATATATATTTATATGTTTACATGTTGTTATGTGATTTTGCACATTTTCTTGCATAGTTATGATGCAAATTTGAATCTAGCACCCTACATCTATTTTCCTAATTAATATAAACTTGTCAATTAGAGCCAGACTTGAGCTTAAAGCTAACACAAATATTTTTTTAGTGGAACACAAACAAATAGTTCATGAGTCATTTCAAACACGATTCAATTTCGAACATAAAAAAGTACAAACTCACTCAAGCTTGGCTCATTTACACCCTTAACTTTCAAATTGACATTATCATATTATTTGTTATTCCAAATTCAAATAGTTGGAATAAGGCTAATGATGATAATGATAATGTTTATTATGCATTAAATCATGAAAATTTTTACATATACTTGAGTACTCCTGTTAGCTAACAGGACTTTATTCTATTTTAGTTATTCAGTTTTGCTTAATAGTTTCCTTATGATTAATTTCTCACCGTTCTTAATAGGGAATACATCCATCAATTAGAGGTGAAGTTTGGGAGTTTTTACTCGGATGTTTCAGTCCAAAGAGTACGTTTGAGGAGAGAGAGCAGTTGAGACAGCAACGAAGGTAACTTTACTATAATTGCAACACTATATTACATGTGCAAGAAATTAATTGTCTTTTTCTTTTCACAAACAGTTTCTTTACTCGATGCTTAAAAACTTCTCTGATATCTTTTTTTAATGGCCTCATTTAAAAGGAATTATAATTTTATCTATTTTAAAGAAATTTACATTTCCACAGGAGCCGTGCTTAAGAATAAATACTATGCCTTGTCATGCAGAGTACAATATGCCCGATGGAAGGAAGAATGTCGACAGATGGATAGTCATGTTGGCAGCGGTGCCATCATTACAGCTCCGATAATCAGCGACGATGGAGAACCAATCAAGGATCCTCTTGTTCTCATGCAAGCCGTGCCATCGGCTAACCTTTTCGACAATGGTGAAGCCAGTGATGGAAGCGGTGATGAATCCCAAATGCATATCACAGACAAAAAAATAATTCAGTGGAAACTAACTTTACATCAAATCGGTCAGTACTCTTTTGCAGCTCATATTTCTCTTTTTGAATTCATAATACTATTGTTAAGTTATTATTCATGATCATAGGCATATTTAACTTAATTTACTCATCTGTCTTTGTTATAATTTGATTATTGTTGTTGTAGGTCTCGACGTGCTTCGAACTGATAGGACGCTTGTATTTTATGAGAAGCAGAACAATTTAGCAAAGCTTTGGGATGTTCTGGCTGTTTATGCTTGGATTGACAAAGATGTTGGCTATTGTCAAGGTGGATAACTATATATATATATATGACTAGATGATTTTATTCAAGTTTTCCTTTGTACAATCACTGTTTTACTGTTTTATCAGCTATTTTGGTTCTGATCAACTATTTAATTCTCCACCTCTTTCATTCTTGTTACCAGTGAGGAAAAATATTACATTTTTTTCTTAAAATATATTTTTTTATGTATTTAATAAATATTAAGAAATTCTCCTTCGATGTATCTGAGGTTATGGATAATTGGTATGGTGCTTTTTAAGGTATGAGTGATCTTTGCTCTCCAATGATAATGCTTCTTCAAGACGAAGCGGATGCATTTTGGTGCTTTGAACGGTTAATGCGGAGATTGGTATGATTCCTTTAGCAAGTTAAGCATATTTTCAGTTTTTTTTTTCAGTCTGTGTATTTGTTTTCTTGATGAATTGATTCATAATTGAGCTTTAATTGAGCGTTAGTCATATGCTTTTTATGAATGAATTTAGAAGTGCTAATTAAAATTGCATAAATCACTAAGTATTATTTATAAAAAGTAATTTGAGTCAATATATTTAACTATTTATTTGATATTTGCATCATATTTATACCGCAAGTAATATATACAAAAATTAAATTGTATTGAATAAAAGAAAATTGTTATAGGAATCTAGTATAAATAATTAATCATAAAATTAGCATTTTATTGAGCTTTTAGTGAGTTACTTATTGAACAAAAAGCGAGAATTTTTAGGAATATAAATGAATAAGTGTGTCGATGTTTAAACTTTTTCATTTATATGCCTAGCTTTTAATTTCTTTTTCAAACTTGTTCTATCTCTTAAATGAACGAATACAAACGGGCTTTATATGAACAAGTACTGAGTTTTTCCTGGAGTAACCTATTCAATTTTCGTCTTATTATTATACGTATCAATTATATAAATACGCATGCATATTGAACGACTAGATGTGTTTTTATTGGTTTATTGACCATCATAACTAATTAATGACTAGCTTATGCTGCTTTAATTCATACTAACATAACTGAAGTGTACATTTCACAGATTTTCATTTTTCATGATTGCTTTACATTGTTTTTAATACTTTGTTATTTTAAATTTTAAAGCGAGGAAATTTCAAATGCACAGAAAAGTCTGTTGGGGTGGAGAACCAACTACAAAGTTTGGCATCCATCACTCAACTTCTCGACCCCAAGCTACATCAACACCTAGGTACATATAATTTCAGTATCATATTCCATTTCAAAGGAAAAAAGTTATCTTTTTTTTTCTTAATATTTAATTCAAATGTATATGATATAAATAATTTTTAGTTCCATGATTCAAAATATAGTCCATATTTTCTACAATTATCTCATCTGATCATTGCCTCTAAATCATTGATCTGCTTGCAAATTTTAAGTAAAAAAAGTGGATACTTTTTGCTTATATTAGTAAATGCACAGCGTCTTTCTTTTAATTACTTAATAATTTTCTTCCCTGCTATGTTCTGGTCACAGAAAAACTTGGTGGCGGTGATTACATTTTTGCTTTCCGAATGTTCATGGTCTTGTTTCGCCGAGAGTTCTCATTTTGTGATTCGTTATACCTATGGGAGGTAAGAAAATTGCCTTTAGACCCATATAAAAGTCTACATGTCTGAATATATCTTCTTTTCATCTGCTCATTTTGAAGATAATGTGCTGCAAAGATAAAGTAATTAAATATTACTCCAGAAAGCTGTAATATTTAATAAAAATGAACATATAGTTTATTATGAAAACAGTTTTTGCAGTCAATCTTTTTTTTTTTTTTTTGTGGTTTTTGTTTGTTCAGTTACCTGAGCACGAAATTTATCCAGTAAAGCTGATAAAAAAATAATCCATATCCGAAATGTAAAAAAAGGTTATTTTCTATCAAACTTTATTAAAGCTGTAGATCATGTTCAAAATACAAGTTTTACCAACTCTTTTCTATATTTTCTACCCCCTTTTTTGTTTGGTTATTTTTGTTTTATTGCCTAATGCCTCATCTTTGAATTTAATTCACAGATGATGTGGGCTCTAGAATACGACCCAGGCATATTCTTGGTGTATGAAGAACAATTGCTCTCTGATGAGAGGAGTGTGGGATCCAGAGAAAAAATAAAATCAATCCGCCAATTTGGCAAGTATGAGCGAGAAAATCTGAGGAATGGAGCCAATGGTTCTCAACCCTCTCTCCCTATTTCAGTTTTTCTTGTTGCCAGTGTTCTCAAGGAAAAGAGCAATAAACTATTGCAGGAAGCAAAAGGCCTTGATGATATTGTAAAGGTAAGAAGAGGGATTGTTAAGAATAATTTTCGAAAAAATAGCTTTTAGACGTCAAATATACCCAACAAGATTAAATAAAGCATGAGGATTCATTAAGCTAAACTCCAAATAAATTTGGAGGAGGATAGTGATGATGATGAGTATATAACTCCGAATTAAGTGCCAAAATAATTTCCTGATTCCAGAATTTATAAAAGTGCAAAATTAGTTCCTATACTCTTTTAATATGGGCTGAAATAGTATCTAGGGAGGACTATTTTTGTTACCATAATAGTAAATTGATATTTTAGTAGACTCTGAGACTAAAATGACGCCTAACAAGAAGTTGGGGGATCATTTTTGACACTTTTCTCATATAACTCCCATTAGATACATACAATGAATCTTCACTAAACTTAATATTTCGGAGTCCCTCAGATTTTAAATGACATAACTGGAAATCTGGATGCCAAGAAAGCATGCAGTGGCGCCTTGAAGCTTCACAAAAAATATTTGAGAAAGGTATTACTTCTTTCTTCTAAGGCCTCTTTGTTTCTGGCTCTTCCTTGTTCACTTGAGTTACTTTTTAAGAAGTGGGTTATATATCAAATTTCATGTATAAGAACTTATTCCTCTCAAATTTGAATTCTTAGCCTAACATAGATTTATTGCCAAGAAAGCATTTTTCCTTGCCTATTTTATGATGCAACTCAAATAAGTTGAAGCTATTAATGAAATTTTCTATTTTGACATTGATAAAATTGTTTTGCATCCTTCATTCTTGAAGGGGCTGTTTCATGTCTTATTTTTGGTTGGATTTAAGCAAGATTTATATTGCTTAAACTCTTCCAATTAAAATTTTAAGGATTTTTAAATTTTAATGTATTGATAAATCCAGTTTTAGTCTTGTTATCAGCTAATTATAAGATTTGTTAATTCTTACATTCAGAGGATTTGAGTATTTCTTTCCTCGCAAAGTTTAAAACTTGAAACAAATAACTGTAAGTTTGTTAGAATTCAGCATCATTTAATGGTTGTCTTGCTAAAAAGTTCTTGAAGTATATATATATATATACCTTCGTGCAGGCCAAAAAGGCATATCTCTAAAGCAATATGAAGAATAAAAGCATCATCAGTGAATTTTTGCTGCGAGTAATTGAAGCGTGCTCAAGAATTTCACAACAGCGTGTAACTGTACCGTTGGAAGAATCACATGAAGAGCTGACAAGCTTCTTTTTTTTAGAAACAATGGTTGGATCCATGGTGTGCTTATTGTTGAGCATGTTCATTGCAGTTTATTTATGCTTGCTGCATTTATCCCAGTTCATTATGCACACTTTACCACATATACGATCATGTATAAAACTGAAAAATATTTTCTCTTCTCGAGAAAAGCTTCTTTGTTATTAATAAAGTATATAAGAAGAAGATTTTTAGTATTTCTTCTTTTTTCATGAGTTATCGGGTTTGCTAGTCTTATAGATTAGCAGACTAATTGATCTGAAGAATGTTCCAGTGGCTGATGCTGATGGAAGTCTCCTTCAACTAGTGATTGAGAGCTTTAGCTTTCAACTAAGAAGTTTTGAGTTTTAGGTCTTACATATGCAATATGTGCACGATGCGCGTGTGGGATTGCTACTTTTGAGAAGCATATACAATAGAGACTCGGTTGGGTGAATTGAGAGATTGTTTGTCAAGGAAAGTACGAGCGAAGTTATGGGAATCATTTACATCAGGCGATTTTTAAGGCTAGAGTATTTTGGGGTTTATTGTATGGTAGTTTATATGGAGAGATTTTTGGTTGTTGAATATGGCAGCCTAATATGAGGTAAACGAACTTTGGCAGTCTCGACAAATGAGTGTATTGAGGAAGTGTAACTCGTGTATTTGATAGTGTTTGGAGATTAGAGTTGTATTTTCCTCATCTATCTATATGAAGTATTATGATAATAATATTGAATCGTCTTTCGATTATGCCATCGATTTGATCGAGTTAAAAATTTGCTTTCGATATATTTTGCATCGTGAGCATTAAATAGATGAGTGATTAATCAATGCAAATTATGAAATTAGTGATTTTTTTTTTCTGAATCTCTTTCCCCGGGTATTATTTCGAGATGCTCCATATATGAGCCCCTTCAAAAGGGGCTTATTATAATTGATTGAATGATCTCTATAGGATGCGGGCAGCTAGAATTAATTACTGGTGACAGGCAAATTGGCAAAAGAAGAAGAGCCACAGATACAATTCTCAATCAGAAAGGACAAAATGTGATATGTGTTTATGTAGCTATTGGCCAAAGAACATCTTTTGTGGCTTAAGTAGTGACTACTTTTCAGTAAGGAGGGACGATGAAATTATACTATTGTGGTAGCGGAAACAACAGATTCGCCTAGTACATTACAATATCTCGCTCCTTAAATGGGAGCGACTCTGGCTGAATATTATATGTACTGTGAACGATATACTTCAATAATTTATGATGGTCATTCCAAACAGACACAATCTTATGGTCAAATGTCTCTTATATTAAGAATGTCCCCTGGTCGTGAAGCTTGTCCAGGAGATGTTTTTTATTTACATTCATGACTTTTAGAAAGAGCCGCTAAATTAAGTTCCCTTTTAGGTGAAGGAAGTATGACTATTTTACCAATAAAAAATCACTAATTTCAGCTTATATTCCTATAAAAATCCAACATATTTAGGTAGAAGGTAGATTTATGATTAACTATCGTACATGATGTTGATTATCACGATCAAATAAAAAAATAAAAAAAATAAAAAAAATAGAAAAAAAAATAAAGAGAGGAACATTAATCTCAAATTATAAGTTTAGAAATAAGGCATGCATCGGTAATTTAGAAAAGGTTTTCTATTTTGAAAATTGTTATACTCTCATTATCATTTTGGAAAGAGTTTATTTTCATGAAAATCGTCACTTAAATTTAAAAAAAAATTGATTTTAATTTTTTATCTAAATATGTTAATCATTGTGATTTCTCTTTTTATTATCATTTTGGAAAGTGTTTATTATCATCAAAATCGTCACTTAAATTTTAAAAAAAAAATTGATTTTAATTTATTATCTAAATATGTTAATCATTGTGATTTCTCTTTTTTGGAAAGAATTTCCATCAATATTTTTAATTAATGGCAAAGCAATCAAGAAAAATATTGATTATTATAAAATGTATTAATCAAATCTATTCGCTTTTTAACAAAAGATGTTTGTAAATTTAAGCAAGGAATTAAGAATGGGTTGTTTTTTCTTTCATTTTTTCCCACCTTTTATTAAGGTTTTAATGCAAAGATAAAAGTTTTGAATGTTTTATAATCAAGATATGTCAATTGAATAATTCATCAATTATGAATCAAATCATGAATTTATTGGTGTCTTTTTTTCATTCTGAAATTATATAATAATGTTCATTCTAATGCTTTAATATACATATATTAAAGAAAATGAGAGAGACTATTATACGAGCCTCCAATCACACCTAATGTGGACACTAATTCGAGTACCACCTCCGTAAGGCCAACCATGGCAGAGGACATTTGAACTCCCAACCTGAGAGGTCTTATACCGTGGATGTCAACCAACAGACTGGAGTACACGACACAAATGATAAACTATACTTAAATGAGGATATAAATGGATAAAATTTAATGATTGTGTTTTATTAGATTCAAATAGAAAGATAAAAATGCATATATGTCAGTCGATTGATTTTAGTAAGATATCTAAGGTCTTTTGTGAACCTCAAAGGATATCACGTGTCATAATGTTTGATGAAAAAATGAATGAAGCTAAATATAAATTTTAAACTCCGTTAGAGAATTATATGTTGTAGTAAAAATACATTTAAAATAGTGCACTAGCGTATGTGTTGCACTTCAATCATCAAACTTCTAAATGTTTGAGTTTGAAAGGAAATGGAGGCATTGACTTGCCAAATGGTTGAGTTTTCATTAGAGTCTTTTTAATCCTTATTGTCAAAAAAACAAATCTTTTTAATCTTTAAGCATTGTGAAAAAGTCAAGGATACATGTGTTAGTGTATTGAGTATAATGTTGTTTAACATGACTTATTTTGATCATATAAAATATGATTATGTTGCTTATTAGGATTTTGTTGAGATTTATTAACTTTTAAATAATAAATTATCTTTAATCAGGTGATAATTTATTAAAAGGTTTTTTACATACATAACACTCAAAACAGGGCATATTTTATTAAGTTCCCCAAGTGGCCCGTAGAAGCCTTCGCTGCGTGGACCTACAGAACGCTCATTCACAAGTACAAATGGACTAAGAAAATTTTCTTCATAGGAATACAAAAGCTAATTCCATTAGTTAAAAGGCGTACAAATGGATTTTTTTTTATTAGAAATATCAAATGGCAAAGGTTTAAAGTTTATTATGTATTCTAAGTAAGCATGCATTTAAAAAATAGGGTGATAAAGAGGATGCGATTCATGCAATAATAGTTTTTTAGGTGAATAATGTAATACATAAAATTATGGATCTGTTTTGGGCAGTTGCAGCTTATCCAGCTTACCTAGATAAGCAGTTTTGATTCATGCAATAATAGTTTTTTAGGTGAATATGTAATACATAAAATTATGGATCTGTTTTGGGCGGTTGCAGCTTATCCAGCTTACCTAGATAAGCAGTTTATCCTGATAAGTTAACTGGTTGTTTAGATTGTGTGTTTGAAAAACAATTCTTTCTGGGTAAATGATCATTATGCCTCTGTTTTAGATAAATTGTTTAGCTGTTTGATTTGTGCATTTGGAAAACAACTAATGATTAGGGTAAGCCAGGAGAGCGCACCCACCACCAACTCACACACCCAAAGTCAGGAGAGCGCACCCAAGCAACCTCACACATTCAAAGCCAATTCATGAAGAACACCAAGCCAGCCAACGAGCCAGGAAACCAAGCTTGAACCAACCCAAAAAACCAAGCTAGCCAACGACCCAAGAAACCACAGAAGAAAAAATGAAATCGAGCTACACAGTGCCAAAAAACTAAGCCAACCAATGTCCCAAGAAAACACAAAAGGCAGAAAAAATGAAAAGGACTTGCACTTTCGCAAAAATCTGGGCCAGCCAACATGTTCCCCACTGTAATACAGTACATCAAGCCAAAGAGACCAAATAAAAATGCCAATTCCTCCATATTCTTCACAGAATGCTTGCTAGTACTCACACAAAACGAGGAAAGCAAGCTAAGGAAATAAAAAATGTCAATCCTTGGATTTGCTTGAAAGAATGCTTGCTACTACTCACACAAAACCAATTCATAAAGAACGCCAAAAAAGTTACAAAGAACCACCTTATCAGATCACAGAGAGGAGAAAAGAGAAGGAGACCTTGCCGGATTACAGGGAGGAGAAAAGAGAAGGAGAAACACAGCAGAGAAATTCAGGGGATGAGAGCAGAGAAGACAGACCTAGAGCACATGATGAGGATAGTAGAGAGGAAGAAGGAGAACCACAACAGATAGATCCAGGAATTGCAGAAGAACCGCAGCTAGGGCACAGGATGCTGCTGGGGTAATATGAAAGATTAACAGATGTGTGAAAGCGGCTTTTAAAACTAATTTTGGATTACATGAATAATTGATGATTCATTTTAGAATAATCAATGCATCTATTACTATCATAAGGACAATGAATCATATTTTTGTCCTTTCATTATAAAGTTTTTCTTAAAAATTTTTATTTGATGGTTATTTTAGTTCATGGTAAAACACAAGATGAATATTAGTACATCAAAAGAAAGTATTTGGGATTTAATAAGCTATATTTATTATACTTGAATTAAAAAAAAAACATGTTCTTAATCAATTTGTGCTCTACTTTCATTTTCTTATATTTGAGGATGGATTGCCATTAACTTTGATAAATTCAAATCAATTAATGATTGGCAAAACCCTCCAACTTACATGATATTCCTCACTTTTAAGGTCAACTGTTTTTATGTTTCTTATAGATGATTCATTTAAGCGTATATTATTCTTATGACCCAACTCTTAAACACGTCAATTGATTTGAGCTTTCATTTAAACATTTTTAATCCTTAAGCTCTCTGTTAAACTTGAAAATAAATGTGTTGATGTATTGAGTAGCATTTATATCCTTCTACTTATAATGTTGCTTAGGATGATTTATTTTGATCAAATAAAATAGGAGAATGTCACTTATTACGATTATGGCGAGATTTATCATTATTTGAATAATAAATTATATTTAATTAATAAAAAATATACAATCAATGATGATTATTTATCAAGGGTATTCATCTTTGTAATTTGCATTTATACAAATGAATTTTTTTTTTAATTTTATTATTACATGATTTTATATTTTAATAAACACAACAAACCAAAGATAAGTACTTTTGCTGGTGATTTTATATTCATGTGTCATTCTTACAAAACTTTTTAAGAAAATGATGGCACAACTTCTCGTATGATTATCTTCCACAAATCGATGGTCAAATTAAAATGGTTTATTGATGATTGAGAGACTGGTATATTATTTGATAAAAGTTCATGCAGTGTATAAAGTTTGATATTATTCATGGTTGCATTTATATAAATTCATCTTTCTAAATATTTACTAATACTAGCCCATTTGAATTTGCATGGAATATTGATATGTCATGAACAAATTTCTAAATGCTGCAGAATCTCGATATATTTTTTTGAGTAAGAAATGTTCAAAATTTTATAAACAGGCACATGAAAGTCTAATTTAAACGAAATTACATTCAAACTGATCGACTCAACAAGACAAACCCAACGATACCAAAATTGGTCAGATCCAAGGCAAATTAAGCTCAGATCAAGCCTCTAAACTACTTTCGAAAGCTTCCAAACATATTTTGAATGTAAACAAATGTCTAATGTGGTGAGCTTATGGTCAAATAGAGCGTCTCAACAAGACAAATTAAACGAGCCCAAAATCACTCAATTTCGACATCATTAAGGCACTCAAGTGTCCATCAAATGTCGTCTGATTGAAAGAAGTCATCTGAGTCGCTTGATCAAAGTGGTTCATATTCTTGTATTATTTGCAACCAGAACTCTATAAATAGAGTCCTACCCCCCTCTTAGAAGGGAGGAAGCTTGAGAATTGGGGAAGAACTTAAAGCTTTAAGAAGGAGCTGAAGTCCAACATCACTTCTATCTCTGTCGACCATCGCTGACTGTCGTCAACCACCGCCGACCACCGTCGACTACCGCTCTCGACCACAACTGACCACTGTCAACCACCACATGTCGACCACCTCTAATCTCTATTGGACGACGTTTGCTCCTTGCAACAAGTTCAGCCGCACGCGATGTTACGAGTCAGAAGACTTTGTAATCATTTCCCGCCTATAGGACGAGGGGTGTCTATAATCATCAACTTATAGTGGATTTTTATAACATGGTCATCCTGCTTTAGTTTTCTCCATTTACGAGTTTTCCATGTAAAAGTTTTGGTGTCCCTACTGTTAAGTATGACTCATATACTAGGAAATTTGGAGTATCTTGAAATGAAGAAATGTGTCTTCTAGAATGAAAAAGAGTATATCTTAGTGTGAAGAGGTGTGTCTCTTGGATTAGTGGGTTGGGGGAAGCAAGGATGTGTTTGTAAATTTATATGTGTAACTTTATGAGTATGTAACTACTCTGAAATAGTGAAATTTGTCGCTCTGCTCACGAGGATGTAAGCATATTTGTCGAACATCGTAAATTTATATGTTTTTCTGGATTTGTGTCGATTTTTGTGTTTTCTTTGCCCTAAATTTTTCAAAAATTGGTATTAGAACGTGGTTCGAGGGCAGGGAAAAAAATTTTGGCCGAAAGTAAAAAGAATGATTTGGTACGAGAATGTAAGCATATTTGTCGAACATCGTAAATCTATATGTTCTTCTGGATTTGTGTCGATTTTTGTGTTTTCTTTCCCCTAAATTTTTCAAAAATTGGTATCAGAATGTGGTTCGAGGGCAGGGGAAAAAATTTTGGCCGAAAGTAAAAAGAATGATTTGGGGGATTTTACAGGACGGTTTTGCGGCAGTTCTTCGGACCGTTCGGGATTGCTTCGTTGAAGTTCAGATCGCTGGAGGAATTATTTCGCCTCGGCGCGACAGGGTTGCGAGGAGTTTCGCAACTAGGCAGCGACGTCGGAGAAGGCGACAAGGCTAAGCAGGCAAATCCGCAGGCCTCATGCGATTGGGCGAAGCAGGCTTCGGTGAAGGTTTTCGGTTCGCGACAGTTCGAATCGCGAGTTCGCGCAGGGACGTGCTAACAGACGATGTTGCGGTTTGCGACCGTTTCAGCGAGACAAAGAAGGGGTTAGGGCTTCGGAGGTGGTTCAGCACAGGAAGTTCGTGAACTTCGTTCGACCGAGGGATCACGAAAGAAGTCTTCACGTGCAATCAAGCGCCAGAAGACCTTCGTTTGTGATAGTTGGAATTCACAGGAGCAGTTCGCGATAGAGGCGATCATATATGAATCTGCAGTTCGCGAATCCTGCGAAGTTTCCGCTCGAGAGAGGGCTTCTTCTGCGCGACATCGACGATCTTGTGCGAACAGGTGTTTAGATAGAAGAGGTCGCGGACGGCATTCACGTAAGCAGGTTCGCAGACGGGAGCAGGTTCGCGGACGGGCTTCGACGACGAGGGCTCTCGACGAATTCGACGAAAGGTTAGCAATCGGGCGTCTCGGGAAGAATAGTTCGTGGGCGATCGGGCAAATTTTGCAGGAACTTTGCCGCGACAGGAAGTTTTGCGACAGGAAGGTTCGCGCGAGGGACAGGTGAAGAGGATTTTTTTTTTTTGCCTGTCGCTGCAGAGGTCTTCTTCCGCGTCGCGACCAAGGAGGTTCGCCAGATAAAGCGTATAAAGGTCTGAGGCGAAGGGTTTTGACGAATTGGACTCGCACGAACCAAAGGTGCAAAGTAGTTCGGATAAAGGGTCGCGGCAGTTTGACAAGTTCTGTTTTGGGAGTTAGAGGCGAATTCCGGGTTCGCGCTACAGGCAAAGACATATTTCGAGCTTTTGGTTCTCAGAAGAAATTACGACAAGTGGAGTTCGAGGAATTTTGATAGTTTGGTGTTTGGAGCAGGAACATAGATGAGAGAATCATGCAATTCGCGAATTTGGCAACAAATTCAGTTCGGCCCAAGCGAGCTGCAGAAGGTATTCCGGATCGAGGCTTCAGGAGAAGAGGCAGTCAAGAGTTCGCCAGTTTCTCAAACGAGAGGAGTTCAACGGAGTTCGCAAATTTGTCGCAGGAGGAATTGTGACAGGTGGAGTTAGCGAATTTCACAGATTGTTCGCAGGTTTGTCACAGGAGAAATCGTGACAGGTGGTGTTTCGCTAGTGTCCGCAGTATTTCAACCGAATTTTTGTGTGAACAGGAAAGATGTTTCGTGTAAAAATTTTGATTCATGAATCACATGAAACTGCGAAAAAATTGTTTCAATTGACAGAAAATTTCTGGTTTATTTGAATTTATTTGTGGTGTATTTTGTTTCAATACAAGACAGAAAAAGTTCACTGTAGGATTAATTTCAAATAACAATGTCTGGTGCAAAAAACGAAATAATGAAGCTCGATGAAACAGGGAACTTCAAATTGTGGTAAACAAGAGTGAAAGATTTATTGACACAACAAGAAATTTTAAAGGCATTGCGAGCTATGAAACCTGATGATAATATCTATAAACTGTTGGGGAGTACAGTTGTAGGTAGAGTTCACTCTGTCAGATCATATGATGAAAATGCAGCAGGAAAGTTGATTAAGTCAAGAATTTTCAACAAGTTCTTGCATCACTTGAATTTATTGAATGTTTGCAGTTGCTAGTTGGCATGGTTGTCAAACTCACTTTGGTGTAAGAAACTCCATGATGTTTTTTTCCTAAGAGGCTGGATATTTACAAGGTGGAGATTTTCTCCTAAGGGGTTGGATATTCGCCAAGGTGGAGAATTGTTAGGTATGACTCATATACCAAAAAATTTGGAGTATCTTGAAATGGAGATGTGTGTCTCTTGAAATGAAAATGAGTGTCTCTTAGTGTGAAGATGTGTGTCTCTTAGATTAGTGGGTTGGGGGGAGCAAGAGCGTATTTGTAAATTTAACTGTGAGTTTTATCTATAAATAAATGTGTAATCCTATAAGTATGTAACTCCTCTGATATAGTGAAATCCGCTGCTCTTAGTGAAATCCACCGCTCTGCTCTCGAGGATGTAGGCATATTTGCCGAACCTCGTAAATCTCTGTGTTCTTCTGGATTTGTGTTGATTTCCATGTTTTTTTCGCCCTAAATTTCTCAACACCTACTGATTGTTATTTTATCTGAATGTGTGTTTAATCTTCATGCAACGCTAAGACGATAATTTATTACTCTACCACTATGAATCTTCTAGCACACATCAAATATCAACATTGAATGTCTATAGATCTTTTTAGCCTTCCTATAGCAACTAGGACAAGCATATTTGCATAATTATTCACACCATGAATGATTTATGTGAGGAAATTTATAAAAGTTTAGCTATTAGCTATGATAGCTGTAAGATTTTTATTGATGTGCAATCAGGTAACATGAAACTTAAGCGTAGTGATGAAGTTATGGTGTGTCTAGATCCATTATAGCTTTTATTAGAAACATTAAAAATATTAAATGCAAAGAAGGCATGGCCAATTAAAATGTGTTACCACATTGGAGCTAATGCTTACAAATTCAAAAAATTATTAAAATTTGATATAAATGTAATTTTCAGTGTGTACTATTTAACCTTCTTTCATGGGTCTATTGTCAATTTTTTGGAGTGTGCTCTCATTTTTTCTTTTCAGAGTTCACATCTAAAACTTGTTCCTAACTTTATTTCAGATGTTGCAATTGTATCTATTATTGATGGTGTACTCTAGGGATATTTTGTTTATTGGTATGATAAACCTATTTGTAATGATTCATTGGTTACTTTCCAGCAAGCAATAAATAAATAAATAAATTTCAATTTTGCTGACTTTCTAGCAAGCAATAAATAAATAAATAAATAAACGATTCATGAAGCTACGCAAATATAATTAGAAGCATCGTTATAAGTAAATAAAGAATAGAAAATGAATTACACAAGCCTTTTACCCAATAACAGTTTAGTTTAATGTAAACCATTCCTTTCAGAAAACCATCACAGGAAGAAAATCTCATGCCTTCATGGACAAGCTCATAAATTTCAGGATACATCCATCAGTTACAAGCCAAATCCACTACCCAACATGCATTGGAACAAAACAAGGGACAACAAGATCTCCAAATTCTACATATATCTTGAGTTATTTGATGTGGGAGAATTCCTTCTCTTGTTCATTTCAGTACTCCTAATCACATATATTTGTTACTTCTAAATTGCACAAAAGAGAGAAAAGATCATATAATACATAATATCTTTTCTAAGATATATAGAAGTATCTCAAGTTTATCTTACTCTTCCATCCTTTCTCATAAGCATCCATTAGTTCATCTTCAAAAATGACAGCAATGCGTTTTATTTCAGACACACACAGGTTCGCTGATGACAGCTTGGAGTTGATTTGGCATTTCAGGTATAACTTCTTCGCAAGCAACCGGAAGATGTTTTGGTGTTTCAACGAGTTCTTTGGAGGCGGCGGAGAAGGAGGAGCTCGAAGAACATATTGAAGTCACCGAGGAAGAAGCAATAACCTTCTTTCTTTTCTTCTTCTTTGAAGGTTTGGGAAGATCAGGCCGTAAGCCGTCTATGGAGTTTGTAGATGATGAAACAGATTGCCATCTTCTGGGTTGCTTATAATCTGCCCTGAGAACAGGAAATGTGAGCATGATGTTTTTCTTAAAAGAAACATAGAATGATCTCTTAATGTCAAGAGCTGAGATGATTAAGAAAATAGTTGGCAGAGCACTGCTGTTTTCTTTTCAGTAAATTCTGAATCCAAAACTTTTTGAAATGAAATAAAAGTAGAAAATAAAAGGTGACATTCATAAGCTTTTCAGCTTAAACTTTGCTTTGTACTCAAAAAACATATTTTGATTTTGATTCTGGTTCTAATGAACTTGTACACAACATTGTTACAAGGCATAAAATAAAGATTTTACAGGCAATCAACATAATAATTCGGTTGTAACATTGAGCTCAGATAAACCAGAGAATTTAAAAGTTATGTCAAAATAATCATTCCTTGTTTCTTTAGGGGACCCCAAAGCTTGAAAGAATAAATTCATAAAAATGTTATCTTTTTTCTTTGAGACAAAATGTATTCAAGGCTAACATTGAATAAGCAAATATCATTATAGGAAAAAAGGGTAAATCTCAATTTATTTTCAATTGGGAGCATTTTGATTGATAGAAAAACATCCAAAAATGCTTCTTTTTTTTTTTTTTTTGAGATAACTGAGATAACAACAATTAATTATGAACTAAAAATGAAAGTAAAAAAAATAAGGGAAAGGTAAGAAAACAGCAAGAGGTCTCCAGAGACTGACCAAAATCATTCAAAGAAGCTGAAGTGAAACCATTCAGCGATGCAGGGGTAATATCTGATGCAGATTTGAACTGACTCATCTGCTCAGAAAATTAAAAATAAAAATTACATAAATCCTCCATAATTTTGCACCAAAAGAGCGATGCAGAGAAGAAAGATACCCAGCTGGGTGCATGTATAGAATCGCTGGCAAAGCCAATGTGTGCAATATGCCTCACATCTGTAGGGTGCCCTATCTCCATCTCCTGTTCCTTGTAAACTAAAAAATGGAAAACAAACCCTCTACTTTTCAGAATGACAAAACACAACAAAATGCAAGGTAGAATGTAACAGAAAGGGAGCAAATCACTAATATTACCAAAGATCTGAGAGATATATTTTAATCCCTTGAACAAACTCTTCACCTTGGGACTCATTGGAAGCGCCCTTAGGGTTACAAATAGAAAAAGAGACAGAATCATAAACCATTCAATCAAATGGAAGGAAAAATAAATGAAAAAGATAGAACATTGATATCATACCTTTAATGAAGAAATAAATGGATTTCAGAAATTTGTTTCCCCTAACCCGTGCAAACGCCATTCTCCTTCATCTCGCTCCTCTATTATTGATCTTACACCGTCAGAAAAACATCATGAAGAACGCAAAAGGCCCACCTGTCTGTATGTTTAGACAAACAGAAGCATGACGATAAAATAAAAAAGTGAACTTGCAAATTTCAAGAGGGGGTAGGGGGGGGAGTGAGGAGGCGGAGGAAGGAAAAAGAAGGGATTTTATCATGAATGAGAGTTGTTAGGGAGGAGGAGGGCGGTTCTCCTTGTACAGAAAAGCTGTTTCTGGTATTTCTCAATGCAATCTTTTGCTACACCAAGCTGTCCTATTAGAAATAGGAGGTTATGGAGGTAGAGTCAATTGTGAGATGAGCTGTAAGGAATGGTGGTGCACTATTTTTCAGCAAAAGTGATATTTTTATGGGGGCATTGATATACATGGGAGACAATATCATATCAGACACCTAAACTTTCTTAAAACAAGTGAAATTCATGTAGATTTATGGCACTAATCTGTTATAAATGTAAATATTAAAATTTGAGTGTTAGAAATATAAATTTTTCTTGTTCTTTTTATTTATTTCAACTTTCAAATATTTATTGTTCCATTATTTAATTGTACCACACGTGACCGGAAAGGACGGTTTTGCAAGAATATATGTAACACCCGGTCCAAACCCCACACTTCCCCCAACTAAATAAATACGTAAATAAAAATAAATGGAATTTTTCTGTAGAATTATATTAGTATAGGAGAAATGTAAGAAATTAAAGATGAGTCGCCAAGAGTTTGGACTAGCGCTGCAAGTAGGGCTGTCAAAAAAGCTCGTTGTTCGCGCGGACTAGCGCTGCAAGGGTGCCCTTTAGGGCTGTTAAAAAAGCTCGTTGTTCGCAAACAGTTCGTGTTCGATTCGCCAGAGCGTTCGTGTTCGATTCGTTCGATAAGCAAACGAGACGAACACGAACAATTTTTTTCGTTCGGTTTGCTAAACGAACCAAACACGAACAGTGATGCGTTCGTTCGTGTTCGAATCGTTATTGTTCGAAATAAAAAAAAATTAAATAAATAAATAAATATATATATATAATTTATGATATTTTTAAAATAATTATATACTCAAAAAAATTAATATATTTTAAAATTTAAAATCTGTAAATTATAAAGTAAAATAAATTATTCATAAAAATAAATTTACATACTATTTAAACTCAAATAATATAAATATTATATATTTATATAATATTTGGTATATAATTTTTATAATATATTATATTTTTATTTTTATATTATAATATATAAAGGAACGCTCATACGGGAAGCCCTAATTCCCTAACCTCCGTTCGCTTTTTCTCCCAATCTCCCGTTCGCTTTCTCATCTCTTACGCCGCTCTCCTCTCACAGTTTCGCGCCGCTCTCCTCTCACGGAAGCACGACTACAGGAGGCTAGGAGTGCTGCGATCTTTCTCTTCCCGGCTGCTCCTTCTCTCAGGATCGTGAAAAGCTTCAAAGCCTCTCTCGGTGAGAACTTCTCAAAATCGCGAAAATCGTTCTCTCGGTGAGAGCTTTGAGTTTATTTTTTGTGTTCGTTCTCTAATCTCTACTTCCATTTTTCTTGGATAAAGGGTATTTTTCCTCGGTGAGTCGGCCTTGGATCGACCCGATATTCTTGCTTAGGTGTTCTTATACTTCGGTTGCTCGGTATTCTTGTTTGGTTGCTCGATATTCTTGTTTGTTTGGTTTTCTTTTTTCGGTTTAAAATATATTACTGTAATCCTAAGAGAGGTGTTGTTGTTCATGTCTTTAAGTTTGTATCAAGCAATAGTTTCCATCTTAGTAACTTCTTGCGTACATTTTGGGGAAAGTAGCAGGTTTGTAGAAATCACGAGACATTAAGTAACTCATTCTATCTAATAAAGATGGAAAGTCAAATGATCATTCTTTCAACACAGAAAATTAATTTGGGCCCCATTTGATAGTTTGTGCATTAAGAGTTTGTTTAAGAAACTAATGATTTTAGTTTCTCTTCTTTCATGAAATAGCAAAGAAATTATATATGATTCTCATAATTCCTAATTACATCCAAGGTTATAGAAACACATAAATAAGATAATTCACTCATAAATTACATAAAAAATAAATATAAAATGAGAAAAATAATCAAAATATGCCCATAAAAATCTAAACAACACTTGAACACTTGCTTCTGTAACAACAGTTTTAAAACTGCCGCTAAACTCTGCTGCATTTAGAAACATATTTTTTGTAGTGCCCAAACATTAATTATTATATTTTTTACATGGGTTCAATATTTTGTTATATATTTACTTATAATAATAGGACTTGTATGCTAATATTGATGGTTGGGCTGAGCTTATTCCTCCTAAAGAGGAGAAGTGAAGCCGGAGACCTGTTTCAGGAGAATTATCTTCAACTGAACCATCAATATCAGCAGATAAGTTCTACTATAATAATAAGTTTAATAATTTTTTTTTTGGCAATTATAGTGAATTGTTATAAATTATTATAATCAAGTTCCAATATTTGTGGTTCTATTTATTTTTGGAGGATTTGACAAGATTATTAACCCCTGCTATGTTCATTGCAATGCATTTTAAGTCGTTGAGATTATTATCTCTGCAAACTGCAAAGGCTTTTAGTAGCGGCTTTAAATAATTTATATATGTATAGTTCATTTTTCTAGCAGTATTTTTTTAAAATATCTTATAAAAAAAATAGCAGGAAAAAATATTTTTTTAATAGTGATCAAAATACCACCAACTCACATGTACAAATGGCCAACGCTCCTCACATCCCATATAATTGTGATGTTGTTCACAACCAGAAGGAAATAAAGGAAAAAGGAGAGAATATTAGTTCCGGCTATGGCAAGTCCAAACGATCAATCGTGATGCATCATGTCATCATATATCTAATTGACGGACGTGAAAGGAAAAAAAAAACTCCTATTTAATACTTGGGTAGCAATTGCATCTAAAGAAGAATTAGTTATTGTGCTTCACCACTACATCACGACTCACGAGCTTCACGTGGAAACAAGATGAGATGTAAGATTATTATATATATATATATATATATTGCATTATCATAAATATTTTTAGGATAAGCACTTAAATAGTTTAATTCTTACCTTCATTTAAAATTAAAGGAATTTACATGATTTGCCTATATCTCATATTTAAAATTTTATATTTACATATATACCATTTTGTTATGAGATTTAGGGGGGAAAAAATAGGAATCGACAGAAATCCAGAAGAACACAGAGATTTAAAGAGGTTCAGCAAAGATGTCTACATCCTCGGGAGCAAAGCGACAAATTCAATATTTCAGAGGAGTTACATACCTATATGGTTACACATTTATTTATAGATAAAATCCACAGATAATTATAAACACGCCCTCATTCCCCCCAACCCATTAATCCAAGCGACACATCTCTCTATTACAGGAGACACATCTCTTCATTACAAAAAATACACTTATCCAATTTCAAGAGACTTCAAATTTCTGGTATATGAGTCATATCTAACAATTCTCCATCTTGGCGAATATTCAGCCTCTTAGAAGAAAATCTCCACCTTGCGAATATTCAACCCCTTAGGAAAAATACATTATCGAGTTTCTTACACCGTAGTGGGTTGAGCAACCATGCCAACTGCAAACATTCAACACGTTCAAGTAGCACAAGAACTTGTTGAAAATACATGGCTTGGTCATCTTTCCTGCTGCATTTTCATCATATGATCTGACAGAGTGTACTTCACCTACAACTGTACTCTCCAACAGTTTATAGATATTGCCATCAGATTTTATAGCTCGCATTGCCTTCAAAATTCCTTGTTGTGCCAACAATCCGAAGTTCCCAGTTTCATCGAATTTCATTATCTCAAATTTTGCATAAGACATTGACATTTGAAATTAATCCTGCAGTGAACTTTTCTTGTCTTGTATTAAAATAAAACACACCACAAATAAATTCAAATAAACCTAAAATTTCCTCTATCAATTGTAGCAATTTTATCACAGTTTTCTGTGATTTATGAATCAAATTTTTCACACGAAATACATTTTCTGTTGGCACAAAAATTCGGTTGAAATACTACAGACATCAGCCAAACTCCACCTATCACAATTTCTCCTACGACAAACCTACGAACAATCCGAGAAATTCGCAAGCTCCACCTGTCACAATTTCTCTTGTGACGAAATTGTGAACTCCGCTGGTCAAGCACCATCTGTCGCAACTGCACCTGCCGTAACTCCTCCTGCGACAAAGTTGCGAAGTCCGCTGGCCGCGCACTACCTGTCGCAACTGCACCTGCCGCACTGCTGCTACAAACTTGCAAACTCCGTTGGCCGAGCACTACCTGTTGCAACTGCACCTGCCGCAACTTTACCTGCAACAAACTTGCGAACTCCGCTGACCGAACACCACTGTTCACAAACGATCCTGTTCACGATAACTACACGCAAACTTTTGTTCACGAACTCCACCTCGCTGAACATCGCAAAGGTTCATGAACTGTCACGCCCGAACCCTGTGAACGTCGAACGTCTTGTTGTGACGTTGCCCCGAGTTCGCCGAACTCCCCTGACCGCAGGAACTCCAAATAGTCACGTTGATTTACGAACTACTGTGACGATTCGCGAACTCCTCCGCAGCCCCCTTCGCAAACTATTCTATGAAACTGGCAAACCTCCAGCTGTTTCTTCACTCCGGCAAAGAAATTTGCTTCCAGGAAATAAGTTTTCTTCCTTCTTCTGTTTCCAGAGGCAAATCCTCCTCTAGATCCAAAGAAAATATTCCTTCCTGCAGCGATTCACCCTTGACCTCGCTGAAACTAGTTTGAATCCTTCTCCCGAAGACCTGTCATAGAGACAGACGGAAACCACGCAGAATCTTCCTTCACCAATTCCGTTCTGCGGTCTGTGCCATCCGTGACTTCCTACGATCTGCCGCGATTCCTCGCTAAACTCCCCCAAGCCGAATGCCTGTCGCAGAAAGTAGGAACTATTCACGACCTCCTCGTAAAACTTCATATCCGACCTGTCGCACACGATCTGATTGCGCCTGCAGAAGGAACTGCCACAGTTCTTTTTGAAATCAGAACTGTCGCAGTTCTTCCTGAAATCGGAACTGTCAAATTTTTCCTTCGCTAACTCCCTTCTGCCGTGAATCACAAATATCGTGAACTCCTCTCGCAGTCATTATCGAGATTCTTCTACAAAACTGAACTCCTCTAAGAAACTGCCGCAAACCGCTGAACCAAAACCTTCTTCTTCCTCATTCTTCCTACGTCGATCTCCTCCGCCCTAGAATCTTGCTCTGATACCAATTGTTGTGAAATTTACGACGAAGAATAATGAGAATCGACACAAAATCAGAAGAAG